ATAATAATAATAGTTTTTATTACTATTATAATTATTATTGATATTATTATTATGGTTATTGTTATTGTTATTATTCTTATTATTATATACCAATTTAGAAAGTTAAGATCAGATCAGAAGGATTCAGATCAGATCAGAAACATTCAGATCATATCAGAAACATTCAGATCAGATCAGAAACATTCAGATCAGATCAGAAACATTCAGATCAGACCAGACAGATTCAGATCAGATCAGAAACATTCAGATCAGATCAGACAGATTCAGATCAGATCAGATCAGATCAGAAAGATTCAGATCAGAAAGATTCAGATCAGATCAGAAAGATTCAGATCAGATCAGAACTTAAAAAATCAGATCAGAAACATTCAGATCAGGTAAAGAGAACAGCTCCTAAGCATTCTATTAAAGTGTTAGTCCTCATTTAGATGATGTTATGGATTTATGTCCTCATTTCCGATAGAGTTGAGAACTATTTATTTTTCGATGAGCTTTCAGCTTTAGATGTTGTATGCATGAGATTTTGAGAAGAAATATGATTACAATGAAAAACAAAGAAATGTTATTTTTTAAAGCACAAAACTAAAACAAAATTATTTTAGTCTCGAGATCCTTTATAAAGATCAACTTTAAACGACATCATTTTGTATTGGATCTTTAAATATTAAAAAGATAGGATGACATTGAGATGAAGCATCTCACTATCATAGAATCATGAACTTCTTTATATCACACCATGGTTACGGTCGGATCAATGTATTCCAATTTCATGTTAAAAAACAGTGACTTCATTCTAAAACATAATTAAAAGAAGTAATTCGAGATTTTAATAAAACACTTTGTTAATTCATATTTTTACGTGTCAGAAATAATTAAAGAGAATGATAAAGAAAAAGAAGTTTAGTCCAAGTCTAACATAGGAGGGAGGGGTGGGCGATTATTATTTATTACTCCATCCGTCCCGGAATTATCTTCATACTTTCCTTTTCGATTTGTCCCAAATTTATCTCCTCTTTCCCTTTTTAGCAAAAAATTTGTGGTTCACAACCATTCTTACATATTTCTCTTTCCTCTGCACAACTCTCCACCACACATTTCTCACTATCTTAATTCGTGTGACATTTGTACTTCAGAAGATAAATATGAGACGGAGGCAGTATATATTATTACTAGTAATAGTTAGTATATATTATTACTAGTAATAGTTATAACGAAATCATGAAAAGCTTGTTGCTTTGGATATTTAGGCACCAAATCCAAGTGTCCAAATTTTAAAATTCCCCAGGGCTAGGTATAGGGCAGTCAAAGCAATGAAATCCAAACTCTAATTTATACAGTAAGAAAGAGCAATACAAGAAGAAGTATAATAGTATATAGTGCAAGTTTGATTTGTTAACGGCTTCCATTTAGGCGACATCTTTGGAAGCCAAACGGACTGCCCGATTTGCACTCTCCTTTGCTCAATCATTGGATTGGATACTCAATGTTAGGTCATGCAATTCCTGTGACTCACCAACAGAGACGGAACAGGGGGCGGAGGTGGAGGGGTGGCCAACCGGGATTCGGCCCAAATTTTAATTTCGTGTATATATTTTTCTAAACAAAAATCTTTATACCGGTCCAGTCCGGCCCAGTGTCATAGCTCCACCCCTAGCCGGCCCAGTCCAACTTTTACTGTGGCTACGTCCTTGGACGGAACATATATTTTAATTTATTACGTATATATACTGCGAATAATAAATATGAATAAATAATTATAAATATGAATAAGTATAGTAAGTAACTTCCAAACAAAATATGAATAAATAATTATAAATATATGACCAAAATCAAAGTTGTGGAAAACGTATAATATGATACTTTAATTTTTCTATTGTAATTGTAAGTCAAGTGACCATGATTATGCTCCATCCATTTCACATTGTAGTCATTATGAAATTTTCTTCGTACTAACAAAATTGTTGTTTCAAAATTAATATATGCATATTAACTTTAACAATATTTGATGTTTTCAAAAAAATGTTTACAAATAACGCACTATAGTATAATGTCTTGATCATTTAAATTTAAAAATTGAGCTTAAATTGTTATGATAAATATTAAAGCTACTATTATGGTCATTAAAGGCCACATTTTTATAAACAATCTTTATTTTAATCATAAATGTGTACTTATTTGATAATATTTTTATTCTCAAACTATATTTCAATAATAATATCTCAAATATAAATAGCAACAATAAACAATATCTGAAAGCACCCCAAGCACAATATCAAATAATGTGCATAAGACTTCTTTTTTTTTGGACAAAATTAGGATGTTTTTAATTGGAATAAATTTTTTGATCTAGTTTATTGGATCTGACCGGACCTGGTAGATTTCTGGTCTCTGTATATTTTATAAGTGTCCAAATTTAGTCTAGTTTAATCTGATCTGGTTTGGGACTGAAGACAGTCCAAACTCCAAGTAAAAACATCGTCAAAAGTTCGTAATTCACAAGTATACCAGTACATATGTTTCGATCATTCGGTCATCGAGGTGGACATGGTCTGGGTCAGTTCGGATAATCGATGAATTTTTTAGAACCGCCGGTTTCACGTAATGGGTAGGTTCGGTTCGAGTATACCAAATCTCAAAATAGGAACCGGACCTTACCCGCCATGTTTGAAATGGACCGGTTCGGTCCGAGTTCTCAGTTCTTTTTTTATAAAACAAAAACATGTCTATACTAGCAAAGTATCTAGTAAGCTACAAAATTTTCAAACGAGAAAAGGGTCAAATAAGACCTTCTACTATTATGAAATAGTCACATAAGGTCATGTACTCAATAAAGTGTCATATAAGTACATCTACTTGTATAAAGCAATCAAATGAGTCCTAACGGCTTATTTAACACATCCTAATCTCGATTTTAGCTTACATGTCATTTTTTTACTTGTATTTCAACCAATCTTAGTTAAATATTTAACATATGTCGTATAATGTATTCTAAAAGGATGGTCAGAAGTACGTTGAAATCAGGATTAAGAGGTGTTAAATATGTCATTATTAGGACTCATTTGATTGGTTTTTACAAGAAGATGTACTTATATGACACTTTATTGAGTACATGACCTTATGTGACTATTTCATAATAGTAAGAGGCCTTATTTGACCCTTTTTTCTTTTCAAACTAATTAAGTATCAATGTCACCATAATATAGTAAAAATTTAAAATAAATATGTAAAACAACATTTTAAATTAGTCAACAAAATATTTAACCACAAATCAAAAAATTAAATAGGTAGCACACAACAACCCAAACTAAATAACACCAAATTTTCAAATGTAGAGATTTACACATCATCATCCATAAACTAAAAAGATAGAACTATAAAATTGTAAGAAATTAAACTAGTTACTATACATATTTTTCTATGAAAATAATTTAAAGTTTATTTAATCTCAAAATACAAGTAAAATTAAGGTAATTAAATGAATATGTTATACATCACACTTCATTGAGTAAGATTCTTTCTTTGCAAAAAAAATTAAAGAAAAAAACTTGATGCATTTGGAATAGAGAATTGGGGAAGACTTTATATGGACTTTGGAACTCTATTTAATAGATTGGCAAATTTATTTAATTGAAAGTCTTTGTCTAGACATAAAAATATGAAGAGCTAATGTGTTAGTGTAGTACTATCTATATTATATTAAATGTAATAGACTTTATTAAAATAATGCGGAGTATTATAAACAGTTCGATCCGGGTACCCGTTTTTCCAAATTTTTGGACCCTTTTGGTTCCTAAGTTTTTAAAAACCCGCCCCGCCCCGAATTGTTTAGATTTTTTAAAATTAGGACCCTATCCTAACCCACCCGAACCTATATTACCCGACCCATGGTTCCTGTACCCATTTGTCCACCCCTAGTCGGTCCTAAACATGCGAGTACCTAGCAAAAAGCTATGTCAAAATTCCGTTTTTTTTTTTGCTTTTTGAAGTTTTTCTTTTTGTATGTTAAAATGTAATAACAATAATTTTTTCTTTTCAAAGGTGAAATGATATACTAAGATCAAGTCATAATAATTTTGAAGTCATATATGTGGTTGAAAGGTTATAATATGATCGTTTCTGTTGCAAATTTGACAATTCATTTGTGTTATTTCTACTTATTAATATCTATACGAATTCATTGCATAAAATATTAAACAAATGAAATATATAAACAAAAGTGATGTCAACCTTACTTATTTTGATTATTTTACAATTCAATAATAAAATCAAAAGTTACAAAGTTGTTGATAAGAGTTTGGCAGATAATTGGAAAACACATAAACCAAAAAAGGACCTTTAATTTTTGGATTGAGTGGTGGTATCATTTACGGATAATAGGATAAAAATAAGGAGTATGAGCTTATTTTATTCTAAACTATTACTAAATTCACAAATCTATCACATTCTTTCACTTTTATCAAAAAAAAATTCAAACTTTATTTTTTTCAACAATTATGTTTTTCTTTTTTCTTTATTCTTTTTTTAAAATTATACATTTTTATCAATAACAATATGATATAAGCAATACAAGTTTGTAAACTTAAAACTACAAAGAAGTGAAAAAATATGAAATAAAAATGTGATTTTCTTCTTAAGTTTTACTAATTCGTCCATTGAAAGTGTAAATGTGAGAAAAAATGAAGTTTGAGTCCTTTCTGAATAAAAGTAAAAGTATGAGATAGATTTGTGAATTTATTGATAGTTGAGGATATTTTCAGCTAATAATCCTAAAAATAAAAAGCCAGTAAAATGAAAGTGAAAGTTTGCACTCCAAAAATTAAATCTAGCTTCTAAATCTACTAAATCAACCAATTTTTTACTAAATTGTGTTATAATCAAAATAAACAAGGTTGGAGTCCATATTCTGACTTAACTGATTGAAATTGTGTAGAGAATCTTTCTCACTGTTTTTATTTAATTATTTTCTTTACTTTATTAATAAGGAGTATATGGGATTAAATTAGGACTTGAATAATACTAAAAACTAACCAATGAAAAAAGGCCTTTTTAAAATTTCCAAAAAAGATATTAAAAAACCTAAAATGGCCATTACACCCTTACTAAACCTAGTTGACCCGTTAGAGTGACTGATGGTCCAGTGATGAATCCCCAATCACCATTCGGGAACTAACCATCACCAATGACAGTGATAGTGACCATGCCAGCCATAATAACCACCGCCGGCAAGAATGACAGTGATCAAATGACAGTGAAAATGACCACCACTTGCGCGGTAGTGACAACCATTTGCGCGGTAGCAACCACCTACCGACTCGGGTGAACGCCGCCTCCACCTCCGATAGTACTCTAACAAGCCCCCTTCGCAACCCTTGCACACTATCCTGTCCCACCAGCACACTCCATCCCCAGCACCAGCACCACCCCTTGATGCACCACTCCCTCCAGTAAGGCATCACTGACACCCACCATCAATGTCACCTTCACAGACAAATAGAATCGCTCGCCGCCGCCCTTAGTAAGGCCGACACCGCTATCAAACGAACCCTACACAGATGATTACCTCCTCGCTGTAATCAAGGATGTAACTACAATCGTTAGTTGTCGCCATCATCAGTAATGTCGCCACCGTCCGCTGCAAGACCGCCTCCCCTTCATAAAAATTCATAAGTGGAAATGGATACTAGAGAGGTAGGTAATCCAACGCGTGAGGCGGAAAAGTTTAGTAGTCAGGGGTGTTTTGGTCTTTCAATTCTATTTTAGTCTCTTTTTATCAAATTCAAGATCTAGTATTATTTTCGTCCTTTTAAAGTGTGGTGCTGTTTATGTCATTCCTTCTTAATATATTTTAAATAATTTTGCATAATTCAATAGATTCAACCAATTTAACCGTTTCAACCAAAACTTCATCAATTTCAGTAGAATCAATCAATCCAGTCATTTTTAGTATTGCCAAACAGGATCAATATTTATAATGGTAATGAAGTGAGACTCTTGAAAAACTTTCAAACTGAGACACCCCCTCCCACCCCTGTTTGCAAAAATCCTTCATAAAATTTGAGAAATGCAAAACACGTCTCTCAACAGTTTTACTACACTGCTATTTCTTAAAGTAACCATGTGGGGTTGGTGACTCACCTATATCTCTCTTTGCGTGGGTAGACTTAAATTCATTACCATAGCAGGTATAATCAATATATATATATATATATATATATATATATATATATATATATATATATATATATATAAGAGAAACTTTTTAAGAGCATACAAAACGCCACATAATCCTGCCATGTCATTCATCATATATAACAATTATTTAGTTATTTTTATACTTCGTACCTTTTATTTTTATTGGATTCTATTTTTCATTACATATTTATATGGAAACAAATGACTCTAGATTCCGTCACTTTTTAAATAGATCGATTCCTAATCTAAATTAGGAAATCTTTATATGTTTACAAATTCCTAATTTTGTTTACTCTTGATGTTTTTAATTAGATTGATTTCAGTCTTAGACTAAATCAAATCAGATCAAATTTTAATAATAATTGAACAAATAAAATGTAAAACAAAAATCTACCAGATCATATTACTTTAGACCAAATCAAAGCTGAAAATTTTAATTCAATTAAAAACTTCCTTATTAATGACGTTTTCAATGTGATGAAATAATAAGTAAAATATAAAATCTTACTATTAAAAGTATGTACTCCATATTTCATACCAAGTTGAATGAGGAATATTAAAAAATATATTTTGAGGCGCACAATAAAGTAAGTTAGAAGACATGAAAATAATTAAGAAGTTTCTCTATGAATTCTTTAAAATCGGGTTCATAACAATTATGCTTAGTAGAGAAGCTTTTGTAGAAGACCATTTATACTATTTTTCATATAATTTTTATTTATTTAACAAACGGATTTTTTTTTCATGATTCGGGATATTCACGTGTTCAACCTATTCAGCTAGAATTTAATTAATTTCAGCAAAATAAACAGATTCCACCAATATTAGTATTATCAAACGGACTCTATATTAAGACTGAGTTTATTTTGCTTTTGCGTCACATTATATATGATTCCGAAAACCAATCAAATTTTAAATTAGATAAATTACATACCGCCCGTGCATCGCACGGGCTTGAAACCTAGTATCATTATATGCCAATATACTAATTTAGCTATGAGACAGTTAAATTGAATCGGAGGAATACAACATAATCTCAAGATTTCCCATAGACTTGTCCTAAAATCTACCATCTTTATAACCACTGTTTTATCTAGCCCAGAACTTTATTCTTTAAACTACAAGATAAACAAGTTGTTTAAAAGTTCAATAATTGCAAACAAACACGTTTCTCAGGTTGATCCATATATGAAACTTGTCCGAAAGGTAGTTCAGATTCTTTAAAAAATGAGTTTTACAGGCATCAAATGAGATTGTTTCTGGGGAACAGAATTTTAGCGTGCTTCCCCATACGTCAATTGACTTCCTAAAAGTTCAAACGTATAAATTGAGTGTGGATTTGAATTTTGAATCAGTTGTATTCATACTACAGCTATACTCATCCAAAGCATTTAAACTCCAACCCAATGATCAAATGAACTGGCCAACCTTTGTCCCAGAAGGGTTACTTTTGAACACTCGCCTATAGGGTTGGACTCGGGTCCGGGCCGGGTCCGGGTCGGGCCTAGGCCCGGGCGGGCCGGCGGTTCAAGATTAGTGGACCCTGGACCGGCCCGGGTAGCCACCGGGTCCGGGCCGGGCTGGGCCGGGCCTCCGGTTTGGATTTTTATTTTTTTTTGCTTTCCTAACCCCCCCCCCCCCCACACCCCCCACCCTCCCAAACCCCCCCCAAACCCATCCTACCCATCAAGCCCAACCCGGGTGGAACCCCAAAAATGAAAAAAAAATAAAAAAAAATCAATTTGGCCCGGGCCCGGGCCCGACCCGACCGGACCGGTTCACCAAAATTGAGACCCGAGCCCGGACCCCGCCCTACCCCCGGGCCTAGGCCCGACCCGGACCCGGACCCGAGAACCGGGCCGGTCCCGGTCCTGCACAGTAGCGGACCGGGCCGGGCAACGGGCCGGGCCGGGCCACGGGCCGGTCCGGTCCATTGGCCGGGTGGCCCGACCCGAGTCCAACCCTACTCACCTACAAGATGAATTATTCACATGGCCTATCCTATGTTGATGGATCATTTTTGATTTCTTGTTGTACTCATAACTTGTACATATTTTATATACACACTCCTAGTTGACATAGACAACTAGGGGTGTGTACACAAACAACTTCTGAATAAATTGTATGTGTACACAGACAACTAAGGGTAGGGATGGACTGAGCCGGTTCAGTTCGGCTCGGCCCGTTACTGTGTAGGCCCGACCTGGCCAGCCGAGACCGGGGCCCAAACCGGTGGCTTATTTAGGCGGGCTACGGGCTACACAAATGGTGAACCGGCGTAGCCAGTCCGGGCCCAAATAATTTTTTTTTCCTTTTTGGTGTTGGGTTGAGCCGACTGGCTACTAGATGGGGTGAGCGATGAGCCTGGGCGGTTTGGGAGTGGTGGGGTGGGGGTTGGAAATTGGAATGCATTCGAAATGACCCAAAAAAATGGAACCCGGCCCAACCCGGTCCCGGTACTAATCCAGGTTGATACCGGGCCTGAATAATTTGGACCCGGAGCCCAGCCCGGTCCATCCCTAACTAGGAGTGGACTCGGGCCGGTTCGGGCCCGGTTCGGGCCTCGGTTCAAGAAGGGGAGGCCCAGAACCGGCCCGGGTAAACCCCGGATCCGGGCCGAGCCGGGCCGGGCCGGTCCGGGCCGGGCCTCAGGTATTTTTTTTTTTTTGGGGCTTTTCCTAGTTAACCCCCACCCCTCCCCCTCACCCCCAAACCAAACCTAACCACCTCAAATGGTCCAAAATAACCAGCCCAACCCAAAAACTCAAAAAAAATTCAAAAAAAAAATTAAAATTGGCCCGGCCCGGGCCCGAACCGGCCGGGCCGGTTCACCTTTTGAAGTGCCCGAGCCCGAACCGAGAATCCACCGGGCCGGGTGACCCGAACCGCCCACCGAACCGGTTCCCGGGCCGGTCCGAGCCCGCACAGTGGCGGTCCGGTCCGGTTCCGGGCCGGTTGGCCCGGCCCGAGTCCAAGCCTATCCCTAACTAGGGGGTGTGTACCGTGTACATCAAATGTGTACAAATTATGTGTACAAACTGTTTTTTCCTATGTTGATTGCACACTTGTGTACAACAAAAACTCTCCCATTCCTTGATTCCCAGTATTTGTTTGTAGTTTGTACTGACCAAATTCGTTTGTTCCACCTTTTGTGTACTATAAAATCTGTATGCATTCAATAATATCTAATTCTTTTCCAAATTTTACTCTACAATGCTTTTTTAAATTAAAAAAAGTAATACTATAGCAAATAACTAATCCATAGTACATACCAAATGAGGGCATTTTATTAGGTAAAATATAAAATTCTTCAGGAATTTACCACTAGTGCATTTTCTTGCACTAAGAATTTTAAGACGGCTTTTTAATCTAGTCACCAATCATAAGCGCACTCTGTTCAAATGGAGTTCACAAGATATGATATACCGAGTGAACTCGACAAGCAATAACATGCATTTTCTGAATTATACCGAAAAATCAGAAAGAAAGGAAACTTGGAGCATGAAGAACATATTCCATCTGAAAATAAAACAATCAGTTCTGACCATATGGCAATACATAATTTTAGACTTGGATGTGTTTTGGGAGTTCCCCTTTCTTCAAAAGGGAGAGGGTGTATTCTGCAGCATCGATGAGGTCCTCAATGTTGTGTCTGGATCGCTCATCCGCACCCAGAAGAAATATGGCCCGAGCCTCAGCTTTCTTCTGCAACCTAGCTGCCCAACTTAGCCGCAGAGAAGGAGAGTTAAGACTCCTAAGTATCTGGCGATACAGAGAGAGAACCTTTCCCCTATTCCTTGCCAACTCCTCTGTTGTTGCCCATATAATCCCCATTACCGATCCTCACTGAACAACAAATGCAGTCAAACATTCATAACCTTTGGTTTAACCTTTTAAGTTCATGGAAATTAATCAAAACATATTAGAAATAACATCATCATATCGTAAAGATTAAACCTTCTTTTTGTTCAACCTTAAAGAAAAAGGAAGCAGAATATGAAAAGGGTGCTAGTTTATTTAGGAATCATATCTAAGAGTTTCTGGACTTCCATTTTATTCTAACAACTTGTTGTTTAGGCATTGATCCTTTACGTCAAAAAACTTCTGAAACAGCAAAACTGTGGTGAGGATGAAATCATGAAAGAAACAACCAGAGAATTTTTCCTTCAGTAACATCAACTCTTCAAGTGTGTGGTCCAATGCTTCAAAGGCTAATGATCCCCAGCCTCAACAGAGAGTGACCTGGGAAGATGTTTCCACCAAAAGAGGTGCACAGTATAGATGTGCTCTAGCAATGCATTGGAACCATTAAGATAGATAATGTATATACAGAAATAATAATAGTTCTGTCCAAGATCTAATGGCGGCAGAATGTTTCCAAGAAAAGGTTGGTAAGAACTCTTATTCATTGCAAAGGGTGTCCTTTTTCAAATAAAGTGGCCATAAATTAAATATGCGCATGGAAATGGAACACCATCAATATAATCTTTTTTTAATGGGACAAGTTTAGCTCATAGAGAATATCAAGAAACTTCAGCCTATAAATAAGAATATTTGTAAATTACAACTATTCACATGAACACATATAAGATCAACTGTTTAGACTTTAATATTTTGTGGATTCTCCAGAAAAATTATATCAAAGACATTACTCAAATTAAATCAAAATGTGCAATGAAGTTTAGGGCCATTCATGTTTACA